GTCATATGAAAAAATGCTCTAAATCACTATTGATTAGAGAAATGCAAATCAAAACAACTCTGAGGTGCCACATCACACCTATCAGATTGGCCAACATGACAAAATAGGAAAATGATAAATGTTGGAGAAGATGTGGGAAAATTGGAACACTAATGCATTGTTGGTGGAGTTGTGAAATGATCCAGCCGTTTTGGAGAGCAATTTGGAACTATGCCCAAAGGGCTATAAAAATGTGCATACCCTTTGACCCAGCAATAGCACTTCTAGGGGTATATCCCAAAGAGATCATACAAATGGGAAAAGGACCCATATGTACAAAAATATTTATAGCAGCTCTTTTTGTGGTGGCAAAGAATTAGAAATTGAGAGGAAGCCCATCCATTGGGGAATGGCTAAACAAGTTGTGGTATATGAATGTAATGGAATACTATTTTGCTATAAGAAATGATGAGCAGGCTGACTTCAGAAAAATCAGTATGGACTGATGCTGAGTGAAGTGAGCAGAACCAGGAGAACGTTGTACACAGTGACAGCCACGTTGTGTTAGACTTAGCCCTTCTCAGCAATGCAAGGATCTAAGACATCTCCAAAGGTCTCATGATGGAAAATGTTATCCATATCCAAAGAAAGAACTATAGAGTTTGAATGCAAATCGAAGCATACTATTTGCTATTTTTTTTCTTCTGTTGTGTTTTGTTTCCTCTTTCTAGTGGTTCCTCCTATTGATTCTAATTCTTACTTAGAACATTACTAATGTGAAAATATGTTTAATAGGAATGTATATGTATAGCCTATATCAGATTGTGCACCGTCTTGGGGAGGAAGGTGGGAAGGGAGGGGGAGAAAAATTTAAAACTCAAAAGCTTATGGAAGTGATTGTTGATAATTCAAAATAAACTAATTTTAAAAAATCATTTTCTCGTTAATTTTAAAATCTGATTTATTCTTTCAATTTCAATTTCAGCAACAATTGGACCTCCGCTAGATGTTCTTGTGACCTCACTTGATGGCTCTCTTATCATCAGCTTCAAGCCTCCCTTCAAAGTAACATCTGCTAAATTTCGCTATTATGTCTATTACTGGGAGAAAGAAGGAAAACAAAAGGCAAGAGTATTCTTTTCTTATTTGCTTGTTTTTTTCTCTTATTTAATTAAGAAGCAAAATAAATATTCTTTTTTTTTTAAGTGAGGCAATTGGAGTTAAGTGACTTGCCCAGGGTCACACAGCTAGTGAGTGTCATGTGTCTGAGACCAGATTTGAACTCAGGTCCTCCTGACTCCAGGGCCTGTGTTGTATCCACTGCACCAGCTAACTGCCCCCAAACTAAATATTCTTATCCTCATTCTCAACAAGTGACATTTTGTTGCTGTCAGTCACATAGTTTGTGATGAGTAACTAAGGCAAAATGACCTTCACTTCATTATCAGTATCAATTTAAGTTGCCCTCTTACTGTTTTGCTGTTACCTGTTTGAGATTAGAGGTGGTCTTAATGGATGTTTTATTCTAACATCAAAAAAAAATCCTTATAATTCAAGCATCAAATGAAACTACTGTCAGAATTAGTGGAAAGCCTGGTGGATTCTATTTTAAGGAACCCAGATTTATGATTTTTCAAGCCCATATAATCACTGGAGAAGGCCCACTTGAATAACTGATGTTAGCAAACCAATTCAGCACTAGTCTGCACTGGCATGGAAATTACATTGTTCATCAACTTTTGGTTATGATGACTGTGTGAAAGATTGTCAAGAAGCCCAGCTCTCCCATGTATATTCCAGCAAATATATAATAAAGAGCACCGAACCAAACCAAGAAATCCAAAGAGAAACAACAGGGCCTAAGTGATGATGGAATGCTTCCATTAAAAAGGGGGGGAAGAGATGTATCCCTTCAAAATCCTTTTTTGTTCAATGATATTTTATTTTTTTAATCAGCAAAAATCTGCCTTGTATCCTTCTCTCCACTCCTTTCTACCTCCCTACCTCCCTACATCTCATGAGAGAAAAGCAAAATCCCTGTTATAAACATGTACAGTCAGAGAAGACAAATTTATGCATTGATCATATCCAAAAAACATATCTCATTCTGCCCTCTATAGGGAGATGGATTTCATTAGTAATGTAGAATTGTGGTTGGTGATTACACTGATCAGAGTTCCTAATTCTTTCAAAGTTTTTTTGTGTTTGCCATATTGTTGTCACCACATAAATTGAACTCTTTATTCTGTTCACTTTATTCCATATCAGTTCACACAAGTCTTCCCAGGTTTTTCTAAAACCAGTTTCTTCATCATTTCTGTATAGTATTCTGTATTCTGTATAGCTCAATAGTATTCCATCACATTTATATACCATAACTTGTTCAGTTATTCCTCACTTTATAAATGGTCCCTTCTTCTCAGATTCCCATTCTTTGACACTTCAAAAAGAGTTATAAATATTTTTTAACGTCCTTAGAGTTTGTTTTGGTTAGGACTGCCCTATCTGAATCTACCTTCCCACTAATTCCCACTTCTCCATTCTCTGTTTTCTCTTCTATTTCTGTGTTGAGTGAGACGTATCCAACTATATTTATATTCTTTCTTTCTTTGACTAGTTCAGATGAAAGTAAGGTTCAAGTGTAGGCTACTTTCCTCCACCTCTTCCTTTTTGTTCATATAGATGCCTACTTGTATACCCTAATAATGTGAGATAATTTTCTCTAACCCTCTTTCCCTTCCCCGTCTAATATATTCCTCTTCCTCTCTCTTTCCATTCTTCTCTTAAAATCTGAAGACATAATAGAACCTCTCCCAGGCCTTCTGTCTAATTAGACTCATTCTATGACCCCTAATGATGACAGGGTTCAGTATGGACACATGTATTATTTCCCCATATTAGTAGTTTATCCCTGTTTAGTCCCTTAGGATTGTTGTTTTGTATTACCTTTTAATGTTTGTCTTAATTCTTCTGTTTGAACTTCAAAATTTTTTCCACAACTCTGGTCTTTTCATCATGAAGGCTTGGAAGTCTCTGTTTCATTTAATCCCCTGCAGGATTATACTGAATTTTGCTGAGTAAGTTATTCAGGGCTGTAAGCCTGTATTCTTTGCTTTCTGTAATACAATTTTCTAAGCTCTATACTCCAACATTCTCATTTCGTTGACCATTTCATTCATTGATCTCTCCATTTCCTAACCAGTACCATTGCATGTTAGTGATTACTGCTTTGTAATACAGTTTGAGATCTCCTATTGCTAGGTTCCCTTCCTTCCTACTTTTTTCCATTTTTTTCCCTTGAGTTTCTCCAAGTAAACTATCTTATCATTTGGCAAATAGAGAAAAATTTGCCTCTTTTTTTCTTATGCCTATTCCCTCAACTTCTTTTTCTTCTATTGTTATTATAATAAGTATTTCAATTGCCACACAGTAGCAGAGACAAGGTGCAACTGTGCTTTATCTCCTGTTTTATTGGGAAAGCTTTTAGTGTTTTTCCATTAAAAATGACGCTGTATAGTTTGGAATTATGCAAATAAAGTGATGAAATTATCTATACCCTTACTTAGACATACAACACCAAGATGGGGGCATCTCTGTGTACATTATTTTACATATGTGTTAGGTCCACAGATATGGAATATTACATACATTTTCAGGTATTTTTCAAAATGTATTGATTGGTTATGGATTTTTTTTCTTCCTTTTTTTCTCTTAAAAAAGTTATTAATTATATAGGATGGCCCTCTGAGAGGCGAAAAGATACTGAAGGAAATTTAGGTGATGTAAAAACAAAAGATATCAATAAAAATTTACTCTAAAATCATGATATCTCTTGATTTTAGATATATTTGTGTTCAAATTTACAGGTTTTCAGAGAAGTAGGTAAATACCTCTAAATTCATTCATAATTACCAGTTAGAACATCCAAATTTTGTTTACAACATTGAAGTAATTTTCCAAAGAAAAATTACAATTCTTTTTTGTTTTGAACTTAATAGACATAAACAAAAGTAAACATTTCACTATGAGATTGTTGTGAAAATAAACTTCTGTTACTTTATGGTGTTATTTTTGTTTTTATGAGGCAATCAGGGTTAAGTGAATTGCCCAGGGTCACACAGCTAGTAATATTACTTTGTTTTTAACATGATAATAATAAAACTTTCCTGATTATCTGTGACTGCTTATATACTTCTTTCTCTTTTCCTCTGTATGTTTTTTTTAAATAAAAACTACCCTTTTTGCTCTTTCTTTGATACATGAATTTTGAAGTTGAGAAAATATTCCAAAGAATGAAAAGTGGTACAGATCTTCCCTCTGATATAAGCAAAAACATGAGAGATCCTAGTAATTCATTTGTGGCATTTTCCCTGTAGATCAAGGGCCCTGTCATCGGCCAACCCATTCAGCTGAATGACTTAAAAGTGCCAAGTGAATACTGTTTACAAGTTCAAGCAGAATTGATTCCTGATTATCTGGAGATCCATCACCAAGGGCTATTAAGTAACGTATCTTGTCATGAAACCTCATCTGAGGGTAAGTACATTTATGAATATGTATTTTCTTTATATCCTTCCCAAGCAGCCTACAACTTAGACTGGAAATACTTTATAGGCACAAAATATAGGAATTCCAAGTGTTGATGGTGGTGGAAATAAGGGACATCTCCATCCATTTTGAGGGAAGGGAAACAGTAAGAGTGGAGCATTATATTGCAGAAATGAAAAATATGTGCTTGGGTTTTAACTGTATCTCCATACCACAAGCTCACAAATTGGAGACAAAGGTAAGAAACTGACTTCTTATCCTTTGATAACAGTGTTAGAAAATAGTATCTCTTTGTTTTATTTGAAAGTGAAATACTGGACATATTTTAAGCTAATTTGAATACAGAGATTCATAGATAAACTCATGCTCTCAGTAATAATATTAGTTTTTTATTCTGTATGATTTTTGCAGCTTCAACTAAACTTCAACAAACCATAATAATAATTTTGGGAATTTTTGCATTGATTGTTCTGGTACTGAGTTGTTACTTTCTGGCACAGAAGTTCCAAGGCCTAATAAAGCATTATTTTCATTCTTCTCCGGGAATCCCATCCCAAATAAAAGAGGTATGTACACAAATTTACAACAGGGACAGGAATAGGAAGCTAATTAACTACCTACAGCTTTTCTGTCTGCAGAATTGGTCTGAAATAGTGGCATAAGCCAGAAAAGGAAGGAATTTAGAGCAGGGGTCAGGAGCAAAAGATAGGAAAGATGGAGAGAGGAAATTAGTGATTTTTAATGTATTGCCACTCCATTCTAAACCTGAAATGACCTAGAGCTAGTATCTCTTTATTTTATGATTAATACCCCCAAAGTATACCCAATTAAGTGCCTAATTACTGTATAGAGAAAGTTGGCTTATTTTTCTGGTGACTATGGAGAAATGTCTCATAAGACAAGCCTTGGAGGAGGAAGGGCACTTGGCTTGAGAAGGCATTTGAGATTTCTAAAATTTTAATACTGCTGTTCTCCATTTAATAAAACTAAAGAAGACTGTAAAACAGAATATAAAGGACGCTAGGTGGCGCAGTGCACCAGCCCTGGAGTCAGGAGGACTTGAGTTCAAATCTGGTCTCAGACCAGATACTTGACACTAGCTGTGTGACTCTGGGCAAGTCACTTTACCCCAATTGCCTTGTAGGAGAAAAAAATAGAATATAAGAAAACTGAAAGAATCTTAAACTTCAGCCAGTAAATTTGTCAGACTGGCTAAACCCTATTTAGGTATCATTATGCATCCCATAGAATATTCAGGACCTTTGAAAGAAATAGGTTACCTAGAATACATCCCAAGGATAATAACCCTGTCTCTCTCCATCTTCCTTACCCTCTTTCCTCTGATCTAAATTCTTTCCTTTTCTGTCTTACACCAGTACTTCAAACCAAGGAAAGTATTTTGTGGGTGGAAAAGCAGACAAATAACTTCCTTCTCCATGGCCTAAGATCACTGGGCTTCATTATTTTGCATCTGAAAGGAATTTAAACTTCACTTGTATATATATGAGGTCCAATCATAAAGAAGTAAGATTTTCCTGAATTGTGGGGCCTATCTTGTTACTTTATAGGCATACTCGGTATGTGTATATCAAATTAAATTATTTAGTCAAGTTTTGTCAAGGATCTGCAAGAAATGTTATTAATTATATATTTATACTTAATGATGATGATGGTGATATCTAGCATTTATATATGAGTTACTATGTGCCAGGCTCTGAGCTAACCACTTTACAAATATCTCAAGGGAAGCACTGTTATCCCAATTTTATAGTTGAGGAAACTGGGGCAAACATAAGTTAAATGACTCACCCAGGGTCTCCCAACTGGTAAGTACATGAGGCCAGTCTTTTGGGCTCCAAACTCAGGGCTGTATCCACTGAGCCACCTAGCCGCCTTTATTGTTGAATGTAATTGTATACCTTGAGGTTTCCTTAGCATGTTTAAATTTCACAAATGTTTGTTAGTTGCTTAAGTGATATTTTCCCATGAGACCCATCCTTGGTTGTTTTCTCAGGGTGTCAGTAAGGTTCAGAGTCTTAAATTATCTGCTGCTAGATTTTAAGCTCTTAGATGATAGAGATTATGTTTTGGTTTGTGTGTGTGTGTGTGTGTCTCTTACATTACCCTAGAGCAATCAGCCAGTTAGTCAACTAGCAATTATTAAGCACCTACTAAGTGCCAGGACTGTGCTAAGTGCTGGGGATCCAAAGAAAGGCAAATATAGTCCCTGCTTTCAAGGACCCCACAGTCTAATAGGGGAGACAACATGCAAAGAACTATGTACAAACAAGGCATATACAGTCAGGACAGCACTCAAGTAGGAACATCGAAAATGGACAGTGGAGATGTCTTAGTTTTGGCAAGGCATGAATGGTTAATAGGAGAAGGGGGCAAGACCTTTTAGTTGACAGCATGACAGCTTGATAGAAGACAGCATGTAGTTGAACTGGTTAACTGCAGAATGAAGACCAGGAGCAGGGTTAATGGTCTAGTCAATGGAGGGGTGGAATGACTGGAAGTCCTAGTGAATATGAGTAAATTTAGGAGTGAGGAAGAGAATGAGGTGAAAGGAAGTTGTGGTCCTAGAGAAATTTCAGAGTTTTGGCTCGTGGATATAGAAGTTAATCAGGATCAAGGGCATGACCATCGCTACATGTGGCTGAAGTAAATTGAAGGAACAGGTCATGGCGGTTGAGGAGGTGGTGAATTGGGGTATTTGAAAGGACACTAGCATGTTTATTGGAGGTAGGAGTTGGGATAGAGAGAAAGACTGTGAAAGCAGGTGCTGAATTCCTGGAGAAAGGAGGGAGAATGACCCAGGAACCTAGAGATAATTGTGACAAGCATCTAGAGGGGGTGATACAGATAAAGTTAACCTCCAAAGAGAAGACAGTTAGGAAATGGAAATGAAGAGCAAATAAGTAAGTAAGCAAGCAGTTTCCTCCTCTTCGTGACCCATTTTATCAGGGCATAGAATAGCATGCACTTAGTATAGAAGAGTATATCTAAGGATGTAGTGTCTCATGGGGTATTGGGGGAGAGGTCAGGTTTCCTAGAGTGCAAAAAGATGATAAGGGTATGAGAGGAAGAAGTCTAATATGTAGGGAAGTTTGTTAATTATAGAAGAGCGTTCCAAAGAAAGGGAGGAAAAATGAAGACAAGGAAAGTCATTGGTATCCTTAGTGATGTATATGTGTATTGACACACATTTATCATAAGAGATCTGTCAATGGAACTATGTGTTTATAGATTATATACATAGTCTAAGATGATTATCTATTGCTCTTAAAGGATTTTAGATGTAGAGCTGAATGGGACGTTATAGGCCCCTGTATTTTATACAAAACTAAGGCTTAGAGAGAGTAAGTGAAGTGTCCAAGGTTATTCAGCTAGTGAGCATATGAGGCAGCAGACATGACCTACCCCAGAACCCTCCACTCCACCATCTAGCTGCCTTTGAATTGTAGATTTTAAAATTATTGTGAAAGGGACAGCTAGGTGGTGCAGTGGATAGAGCTCAGGCCTTGGAGTCAGGAGGACCTGAGTTCAAGTTTGACCTCAGACACTTGACACTTACTAGCTGTGTAACCCTGAGCAAGGCACTTAACCTTGATTGCCAAACCCCCCAAAAAAAATTGTTGTGAAAGCTTTAATAGTAAAGTCATTATCCAACTACTATCAAAGCTGTCATAGGTTGAAGGACCAGTTAAATTCTTGGTGGACTTCGAATAATAGCAACCCAGAAAGTCATGATCACCAACTAACAAATAATTTACTAAAATCTCTGCAGTGAAGGACTACACATCACCAAAGGAAATGTCATCATACAAAAATTATATTCCTTCAACAAATTGACCAAAGAAGTACAAAATGAGCATTTCAGTAGACATGTTCAGATGAGCTCAACCATCTAGTTAAATGGGCATTTCTTCCAATATGTATAATTTCCTTATATCTAGTTTTCATCCAGTAAACTGGCAAGACGATCCTATTGCAATAACACCACTTCTTTTACCAGATGAGTCAGAGTTACTCAAGAATGAAATCAGTCAGATTCTCGTCTTCCTGTTAATTCACAGCTATTGTCCTCTAAATGAGTAATTCTGTTAGCTAAATTCCTGGGAAGAAAGAAACAGACCACGTCCATGTAACTCTTGTGAGTTTTATTGTAATATATTCTTTGAGGCCAGACTGGGTCTCTAGAAGGCAGAAGATGAGATGGGACACACCCAAGGGTATGCTGGTGCATCCTGAACCAGATTATGAAAGCCAATTGTTGAATTTTTACTGCAAGCATTTATACTTCAGAAATTGGAAACTGCTACAAATCAGGGCTTGATTTACTATTTTGTTGATTTCTAGACTTAAGTAATGGGGGAAATGTTAACAATGCAGATTTAATTTAAGTGAGTCCTAGGGACAGCTAGGTGGCACAGTGGATAGAGCACTGGCCCTGGAGTCAGGAGGACCTGAGTTCAAATCCGACCTCAGACACTTGACACTTACTAGCTGTGTGACCCTAGGCAAGTCACTTAATCCTGATTGCCTCACCAAAAAAATAAATAAAATAAAAAATAAAAGTGAGTCCTGTATTTACAGTTTCAGGTCTGTGTCTGAAGTTAGGTCTCCAGCTATCTGAGCCCCAGAGGCTCTAGTCTCAGGTCATCTAGTGAGAAACAGGGCACCTCCTCAGCAGGCTAGTGGGGGGCTGCAAGACCATAGACTGGGTGGCAGCATCAAGGATGCTTACCCACCAGTTTTATCTGGGCAGTGCAAACAACTTAGGTTTCTGATCACCTAGTCAAGAGTTGAAAGACAGAATCAGGTATTAGCACCTCCAAAAATGGCTCACAAACTTTTCCTTTTATACAATAAATAAATGTCCCTATCTCTAATGCATGGATAGTTCACTTTGTTAGTTCTCAGGAATTCTAGGACAGAGATTGGAAAGTTCATCTGGTGTCTGCTTAGAGTGCAGAAATTTGTTATCTGTAAGAACTAAGAGTAGACAAAAAGTATTTCTGAATTGATAAGCATAATCACACCTTTAGAAAAAAGAGAGAAATCTTCCCACCACTGTGGTTTAAGGCATAAATTATGCCTTTAGATGGAAAACAAAGTATCATAAAGGGATTGTCCATAATCTTATAAATAAATTTTTCCATCGTCAAGGGAAATGGTCCTTGGGGTTTTCGCACCGAACAATTTACAACTTTTCTGTTGGTAGTCTATGAATGAATGCTTACTTACTGTAGCCAGGAGTGAGTGACTCAAGTAGAAGATTGACTAGGATTCTAATATTGGTGAGAAAAGGCCTTAATTTACCAGTATAGTTATGTACAGATGTGTATTCATGTAAAATTCTCTAGAAAATAGTATATTTACATTCAGAGGGGAGGGCTGACATTTGTAGTAACAAAAGTGTAAATAACAAACATATCCATGTATATATTTTGAACAGAGGTATAGAACTGCAGAGGCCAGGCATTATAGGATGCATTGTATAGCCATGTTTTGTTAGCTCCACTACACCAGCTGACTAAGTTTAAGAGCAGCCCATGGAGAGAGAGGATGGCTCATGTTAAAAAGCCAAAATATAATCAAAACCGCTCTGAGGTACCATATCACACCTATCAGATTGGCCAACATGACAAAACAGGAAAATGATAAATGTTGGAGAAGATGTGGGAAAATTGAAACACTAATGCATTGTTGGTGGAGTTGTGAATGATCCAACCGTTTTGGAGAGCAATTTGGAACTCTGCCCAAAGGGCTATAAAAATGTGCATACCCTTTGACCCAGCAATAGCACTTCTAGGGCTGTATCCTAAAGAGATCATACACATGGGAAAAGGACGCACATGTACAAAAATATTTAGAGCAGCTCTTTTTATGAAGGCAAAGAATTGGAAATTGAGAGGATGCCCATCCATTGGGGAATGACTGAACAAGTTGTGGTATAGGAATGTAATGGAATACTATTCTGTAGGAAATGATGAGCAGGCAGACTTCAGGAAAACCTGGAAAGAGTTGTATGGATTGATGCTGAGTGAAGTGAGCAGAACCAGAATGTTGTACACAGTAACAGCCACGTTGTGCAAAGACTAACGTTGATAGACTTAGCTTTTCTCAGCAATACAAGGATCTAAGACATCTCCAAAGGTCTCATGATGGAAAATGTTATCCACATTCAAAGAAAGAACTATAGAGTTTGAACACAGATCGAAGCATACTAGTTGCTCTTTTTTTCTTCTGTTTTGTTTTCTCTTTCTTGTGGTTCTTCCTATTGGTTCTAATTCTTCCTTACAACATGACTAATGTGAAAATATGTTTAATAGGAATGCATATGTATAGCCTATATCAGATCGTGCACCGTCTTGGGGAGTGAGGTGGGGAGGGAGGGGGAGAAAAATTTAAAACTCAAAAGCTTATGGAAGTGATTGTTGATAACTCAAAATAAATTAATAAAAAAAAAAGAAAAAAAAAAGAATGCCATAGCATCTAGGTTAAATAAAATAAAATAAATAAAGTTTTTAAAAAAGCCAAAGTATTCTGACTAATTTTACTGTTATCAATTATGGGTAGATGTTTTGCAAGTCTGTGTAGATGAAATAAATTACTTGGTAAGTTAATAATTAAACAAATGTTAAGTAGGAAAAAACCCCTTAAAATAGTATTCATATATTGATTTTTCACAGATAGGTTGGAAACTCCCTATGCTGATTCACTGTGTTTCAAGTTTGTCATTCCCCTTTTTGTACATTCCCCTTTTAGGCAAGCATTTCCCAATGACTCACTGGACTATATGGTATAGCACAATGCCAACACTGGATTTGGAATCAGATAATTTGGAATTAGATCCTAGCTCTGATATTTACTGTCTCCAGACGAACCTATGATTCCTTGTCTATAAAATGACAGGTTGGACTAGAAGACTTTTTAGATGCCTTCTGTGATCCTTTGGGCTTAGTAAAATACAGTTGTTGAATAGCATTTTGTAACTTACACTGATCAGTCTTGTTTAAAATATTGTGTGAATGTATTTGTTTGGAGGCTGGGGGTGGTGATATGTAACATTAAAGCATGAAGGGCTTGCCTCACAAAAACATAGCCAATTTCTTTAGGTCTGATGTACTAACTTGACCTTATTTCTGATCCTTTCTAGTATTTAATGGATCCCAATGAGCCTATTTTAGAAGCGCTGGACAGGAACAGCTCAATGGAAAAGGATTGTTGGGATTCCTTATCTATTATTTCCTGCACAGAAGAACATCAAGCTGTCTTCAGCAGTAATTTAAGTGACAATACTTGTACAGATAACCAGCCAAGTACAAAAATTACCTAGAGCCAATAAACTGTGAGAATTACTGTCTAAACTTTATAGGAGGCCAGTTTCCATATTTCTATCTACCACAGATGCCATATCTAAGTACTTGGGACAAGTTTTATTTTCCTTTTTAACTGAAGATACCACTAAGTATACATTACTGGCATTATTCCAGTGAACATTCAATTATAAAATATCTTCCTGGCCTAGAAAGAACAAGATGGACACCACAAATGTTCCCCAAAAAACACTAAGAGGATCTCCTAACCTACAGTACCTTGAGAGACAGCATAATAATAATGGAAAGAACTGCAGACTAAGAACTGGATTTTGACTTTGTTGTACCACTATTTCATTGGGTGAAATATCTCTTCACCTCTCCCTGCCTGAGTTTCTTTATCTGTGAAATGGAGCTGAACTATAGAAGGTTTCAGGTATTTCCCACCTCTAAAACTTTACTGGCTGGCACCCCTATGAAACTGTGAGTTTGATAACTGGTCTTAGCCATGATCCAGTTCTAAGAAAATGTTATGATTTAATCTTGTAAATAAATATTTGTTAACTACAAATTTTCTAAGCTAATACAGTATATGGCTAAAACTTTTTTAAAAATAAACTCTTTGAAAAGTTTTTTTTTATACTTTAAGTATTTCCATGTTTTCTGAAGTTTCAGCTTTTTCTTCTGCTATATTCCTGTTTATCTACAAACATGCAGTTTTCTGTCTGGTATCTACCAATTGACTTACTAAGTTTGTGAGCCAGTTCCTTGAAATTGGAGGATTTTCAGGTGATGAATTTGCACTTTATATGAATTCCACAACACTGTCTAGGATGTGTATGTAGACAAGCACTATGAAAATTATGAAATGCATTAGGACAATATGGATAAAGTTCACTGAGCATTCAAGTGATATTTACTTTTTATCAGGAAAGGATCAAGACTTTTATTCCATTCTTGGTTTTTTTTTTTTTTAACAAATCCTTCCTAATAACCATCTAACATATGGAAAATAGCTTCTAAAACTTTAGTTACTAATTTATTTATTAAAACTGGTTACAGAATTGCATGTTAGTAAACATTAACCAAGTTGAAAGTGCCAGGCTCTTGGTAGGTGAAATCAGGTGTAGCCCTATATAGTATTTATCTGAGAATGACATTCGAACTCAAGACAAAGATGTGAAGCAGCTTTGAAAAGAATTATGCTAACAGGGGCAACGCGGTGGCACAGTAGATAGAGCTCTGGCCTTGGAGTTAGGAGGACCCGAGTTCAAATTTGACCTTAGACACTTGACACTTACTAGCTGTGTGACCCTGGACAAGTCACTTAACCCCAACTGCCTCACCAAAGGAAAAAAAAAGAATTCTGCTAACAATCAACCAATTAGTCTGCAAGGTACTTTTGGGAAGGATGTCTGACCCTATGTCTGGTTCTTCTCTCCCTCTCACTTCCCCACCCTAACACACTGAGCATCCACAAGAGAACTGGGGGAAGAGATACAGGCCTTTTTAAGTACCCACCATTTAAGTGTAAATTGTTATTATGAACCTCGGGTTTTTGGGTTTTTTTAATACCAGCTGGTGGGGAGGCAAAGCCAAGACGGCAGAGAAAAGGCAGCAACTCCCCAAGCTCTCCCCAAAACCCCTCTGAACACCATTAAATAATGCCATAAAATAATTTCTGGAGCAGCAAAACCCACAAAAGGATGGGACAAAATAATTTTCCAGCCAAAGACAGCTTAGAAGGTTGGGAAGAAAAGTCTGTCACACCTATGTTAGAGTGGAGTACATATTTTCAGATTTTTTCATTATACTGCTTTCCTTTTCTTTAAAAAAAAAAAAAAGTAGGGGGCAGCTAGGTGGCGCAGTGGATAGAGCACCGGCCCTGAAGTCATGAGAACCTGAGTTCAAATCTGGCCTCAGACCAAACACTTGACACATTTACTAGCTGTGTGACCCTGGGCAAGTCACTTAACCCTAATTGCCTAAAAAAAAAAAAAAGTATTTGATATATGGCAGAGCCCTCTGAGAACAGGGGTGCAAGGGAGCGGGTGGAAGAATTCTAATGATGCAATTATGTCAAAAAATCAGTACTCATATCATTCATCGTCTTTACTTGCCAGCAGAAGGTAAACTTGTCTGAATTATTTCTTGATACACTACACCTTAAGCTCTGCCACAGAACACACGCAGCCCTTTCTTACTTTACATCTGACTCCCAAGATCATGGGGTCCTCTGGTGGTTTACTCAGCTCCACTGTCCTACCCCCTACTCTACAGTCTTTCCTAAGGACAATAATTTGTCCTTATGTAATTTGTAATGTAATTTGTGACTGCACACTGTAGTGCCTCATTACATTGATTTAGCATCTATCAGAAGCTTCCTAGTACACAGTATACAGGTGTGTAGTTTATGGTTCATCAGTTTATTAAGGACTTCCTCTGTATATAAAACAGGGTAGGGGAATACAAATCCATGGCTACAGCATGCTCCATTCCTTCTTAGCAGAAAGGAAATGACGTCCACAACTAAAATCTATTACTTCACAGGGTTGTTTGAAGAGCATATGAGAATATACTCTTTCTATATTACATATTTTGATAATTTTTGAATTCATAATTAGAGATTTTGTGAAATTTGTGAAAAGGGCTTAGTATCATATTTTTTAGAACAGCTAACCACCATATTAATACTTCCTAAATCCACAAGATTCAGTAACCACTAAGCCAAATTATCTTGCTCAAATGTGTGTAAAGTGCTTTGCACAACTTAAAGTGTTATATAAATGCCAGCTATTATCCAGGTATTACACGGTTTAAGATTTACAAAATGTATTCTTTTTATATACATATGTATATAATCTCCTTTGGGCAACAGAATCTGATTCAGTAATTAAAATCTAAGGCTATTAATGTGGTCCCCATTTTTTGATAGGAAAATAAGCAAAGAGCAATTAATTATTTGTTCATATTCACAATATGGGGTTTTTCCCCCTATGTTTTCAGTAGAAAAAAGGATACTAAATTTTTAATGTTATTCTAGATTGTTTTGGCTAAGCAACTTGCTATAGAAATAACAATTCACCAAGAAGATGCCCAAATACTCCAGAAGTGCTGAGAACACACACACTTTTTGTTTTTATATAAGCTGCGTCTTTTAGCCACTTATTTGTGTAAATTACGAACAACAACAATTTTCAAAATATATTTTTGGTCAAATAAATTTAACAAACCACCCTTAAAAGAAATATTTATTGTATTTAAAATAAGTTACAACTGAGGGGACATAAAAAGGGACTTCAAAGATGCTTTGAGAAAATAAAAGTTTGAGAAAATAAAAGGTTGCCAAGGTTTTTAAACAAAAGCACACAAACAAGCAGTAAAAAGGATTAAGTGTACACAATAGCACAGCTTTCCACAATTTGCGTCATATTCTGTGCAAAGGAAATTCTCAGAACATATTTTTAAAGCTGCATTTTAATGCTATTTGTTTTATAGAGTCTGTCTTAGAGACAAGAAAAATAATCTGTAAAACCAGGGAAAAATAAAACACAACCAAAACCTGTGTAACAAGTCAGAGTGTAATATGAGATAGTGACAATATTCAAACAATTCCCTTGAGACTACACTGTGTATTTGTGCTTACTTGGCTAATGCAACTCAATAAATTAGAGCTATGATTGTAATATGATACATGCCTGCAAAATTTTCTCAGTGTATTTTACAACAGTTCACCCAAAGTTCAATGAATACATTAGAATAGGGGCTTTCAGTCTTGCAAATAAGTGGATAGAATGCTTATTTCTTAAACAACATAGTGGCAGTACCCTTTTGGAAGTAAAACTATTTTTTAATGTTTTCCCTATACCTTCCATTACAGTAAAAGTATCTGTTGTACTACTCTGCGCTCTTAAATCTTGATTCTTTCAAGCCAATATGCTTTAACATGAACTTATAATGCTGTCATATAATCTATAGATTGTAAAAAGAAAAGCACAATACACAGACTATTTTACTTGCATTTTCTAAGAATTATGTTGCCAAGTTTTGTGGTCATTTTACTTTAACCACATTAAATCTAAGCTAATTAGTTGTACACTATCCCATTTCAGAGCCTTGCCATTCAGAAACATTTTTTCTTCAAAAGTTATTTCCAAATTAGTCCTTTGGGTATTTAAAAAATGTTCATATACATTTATGTTCCACTTTAATGCAAGCATTAAAAAGAAAAAACCAAAACACGCTCATTTTCTCTGCCAAAACAAATACAACTTATTGAAATGCCCTTCTGAACTAACGGGTAAGTGCTGATTTCAGATATTCACTGATTTATTTTTGCACATCTTCGGTAGTTAGAAACAGCATACACAAGCATTGTCAATAAGCTCTAAAGTGACATGATGCAACCTTGCTCAGAGAGCACAGATCAAGCCTTAAGTGTGCAAGAATAAAAAACAAGTATTTTCCACCATCTATAATAATATATACATCCATATATGTACATATTCACAATCTATGAAATGAAATAAAGGGTAGAAACTACATCAAAGTAGTTACTGGCATAAAAGGAAAACAATTTGACAACATTTAATGTACAATCCACTAGCAAAATGTAAATCAAAGTGGAAGAGAAAATTTCATACATATAGAATATAACAAAATGATTTTTGATGCAATTAGTGATTTATCCCCATAACTCTTCTGTTCGTCCAAATTTGTAGATGAGGGTACTATAAAAATATGAAAAACATAGTTATACATGGTGAGAAAAACTTGAAACTACTTGTACATTACAACATATGTACTTAAGTTCAATTTTGGAACTGCTAAAATTAAGTAGCATAGCTACATATCAGCTAAGACATTATCTTTCATAACCCAGCTTCCTGAACTAGAAATGTCTGAACTGTTTTGAATGTTATTCTTAAAGCACAAAGATATTATAATATTCTAATTATCTAAGAGAAGTAGAGAATTTTTCTGTCATTATTTCTCTTTCAGATCCAACCATATCCAAAAAATTGGAGCCTAGGTTTTCTTGTTATTAAAAATGACTTGCATTTAAATATTCATTTATATACTATTTTGTAATTCACAGTTAAGCACTTTCCTCTAAACTACTTTGTCACATTAAAATTATTTAGGTACCAATAACTTTACCAATTATATCTGAGTGCCTTACCCTAGTGTTTCATTAGATCATTAACTCTTTATTTTACCTTTCAATATCTGCTACTTGAAATACATATTCAACTCTCAGCTAAAATATATTAAACAAGAATTCTACAACTACAGCTACCACTTCCAGGTACTAAACAATACTATAAAAGCACATTCTCGGTCCTAAATTATAACTGAAGTTTCAACTGGTAACAGCAGAGAGCTTCTGGAGAAGAGGGAGTTTTGTCATTTGGATTTCTATTGATCAGACTGGCCCACTAAACAGGAGGTACTTAAGTGCCTACTGATTAACTAATTGATGAGAGGGGAAAGGGACAAAGGACATTTTAAGCTGATAAGAGGGAAAAAAATTAAAGATCTGAGTGGGACTTTGAACCACAAAGTAGTAACATAAAAACACCAGGGGTAATTGTTTTTTAAAAATAGGTCACAAGACCTGTGTGATCATCAACCTATAAAAAATAATCCTTATAATAAAACTTCATGTAACAGGCATAAAATAACTGAAATTATCAAGTCACTGGCATTTTTTAAACGACAAGATCACACAGGTTGGGAAGACCTTGTGCTGCCCAAAAATCTAACTCAAGAACTTCAGGAGTTACCTTCAAAGTTCTTATTTATCTAAATTATGATCTTTGTCACAAAGCTTTACCTTTCATATCCTGTTAAATTGTTAAAGTCTGGCTGTCAACAAAAGTTCTCTGAAAAATAAGTTTTAATTTACTGATATTGAAGTTTTGGGTTTTTTTGTTTGTTTGTTTTGTTTTTGTTTTAGGCAATTGGGGTTAAGTGACTTGCCCAGGGTCACACAGCTAATAAGTGTGTTTGGTCTGAGGTCAAATTTGAATTCAGGTCCTCCTGACTTCAGGGCCAGTCCTCTATCCACTGCACCACCTGGCTGCCCCAGTTTTGGGTTTTTTTTAAACACAGCCCTCCCAGATCAGGGAGTTCTTGACTTGGGAGTCCATAAATTTCTTTGTTGGTTTTTTTTTTTAACGTATTTTGATCACTGTATTTCAAAAGAATTAGTTTCCTTTGTTATTCTATGTATTTTATGTATTTAAAAACATGACTCTGAGAAGGGGTCTAAGACAGAGGTTCCCAAACTTATTTGGCCTATCACCCCATTTTCCAAAAAAAAAAAAGAAAAAAAAAAGAAAAAGAAAAAAATTACTCAGTGCCCCCCTGGAAATCTTTAACCTTTTAACTTTTTTTTTTTTAATTTGCATCATTTTAAAAAAATAATTTTTTTTAAAATGATGCATCTTAAATTTAATAACTTATTGTAAATTTATGGGGTCTTTCCTGCATTAAAATTTCATGATGCAATATTGCATCATGTAACCGTAAATAAGTCATTACACACATATTCTTGCCAATGCATGCTGAACTTCCCAACAATGCACCTGCCAACACTTGCTTAAGACCTGTTAGTGGACTTGACCACTGATCGGTTATAACTGCATTTTGTGTGTTTATTTGGAAAATAATGTAATCACTACTTTAACTGTTACACAACAGATGACACATGTACAAATGGTTTTTCACAATTTTCTTATCTTCTCTTCTTTCCTTATGCTTCCACTGCCCCCTTATTTTTATTTAATGCCCCACAATTGCACCAAGGCTACTACCATCACCCCCAATCATTCCAGTGCCCTCTGGTATCGCCCACTTTGGGATCCTCTCAAGACACAAAAAAATTTAAGAACTCCTAAAGCTTGAAGGGACTGCTGGAAAGGTAGGGAATGTTAACTTGCTGAGAGTGCTTACCTTTGGATTCCTAAGACAAATATTACCTAGGGAAATTTTGTCTTTTTCCTTATTTTCAACTAGATCAAGCCAAACTTTCTAGTCCAGAAAATATTTCATGGAGAAATGTCTCCATCTTGTGGCCTTTTAGCAGATAACATCTAAAGGTGATTATTGTCTCTTACCCACATTTAAACTAGAACTAAGCCTCAACTAGTTAACGGTTATTACAAGTTTATACCACAGTGTTCTTCCTGGTGCACTATTAGAAGTTGCACTTCCCTGTCTTTTTTATTGAAAAGACACAATTCATAACTGTATCATAGCCCATTTCTAACTGAACTCAATGAACTTATACTTAATACTTTTTATATTCTTTTTATAATATACTTAAAAATAGAATGGAAAAGTGGTTAACTTACCTAAAAAATATAAGTGCATTTTGAAAAAATACAGCTAGTCCTGGATAAACATTAGTATCTGAAAGAATTAAAAATATATGAAAAATTGGCATCAACATATTCAATAAGAAAGAGTATCAGTGCTAACCACAAATAGAACACATGTAACATACCAAGAAATAAAAGAAGATAAATAAAAGGAACCAAAGATACAATTTCATTGAATTATCTGAATTTTTAAAGCATTTACTTTACACAATATAGATTTTTCCCCTCAAAAAAAAAAAAAAAAAAGAAAAACCGTAATTCTTAATTTATATAAGCCACGACAAAAACAGAAGTGAACATATCACCTAGAATACTGCTTATGTCATATGTGGGCTAAGGACACCTAGAGGCAGACAAGCATTCATTGCAAGGGGTTCACTAATCCATAAGCACATCAAACACTTTCATTCTGTTATTATTTTCAGAAAACAATGGCTACACTGATGTAGAAAGGGGGAGAAGAGAAGTTTCTCATCCTCGAAGACTGGGAACCGATGACCTAAAGCAAAAATAGATAAGCTTTTTAATTTACTGCTTATTCAGCACAACTGTCATGGTATTGGTTGGATCAGAACTGCTTGCTATAAAAAAGCAAGAGGCACACACATATACTCCTCTTGTTACCCAAGATCAGCATGGAAATGTGGAATATTGTCAAAAACAAAAGTGGCTGAAAACTTTTAATAGATTGTCAACGATTTTGTTACTGTGTTTTTCTACAAAACTTCTGGAATACTACTACACGTTGTCATTAAATAGCGTAGAACAAGGAATACATCTTCACCTAACCTACCCTGTAGTTATTCCTGTATCTCAGAAGACACTAAGGATCAAGGAAGTGAGCAAAACAGGCCTCTCTGCTTAAGGAATGGCCCCGAATCTATGCACTAAGACTACTTAACACTAAGTCCGTCAGTTTATTTACTCTTACTTTAGACTTAATTTTAACAAATACAGTTATCTGGTTTCCTAGCCCAAAATAGATTAGAAGCAGCAAATTTAAAAGATCAGAGAAAAAAATACTACAGTGAGTAGTAATGAATACTTCTGTCAGCAGCAACAGATAAAGTTGGACCGCAGAAACAGAAAAATTATAAACAGACATAAAAACTCAAAAAGGGCATGAGTTTGAGGCCATTTAGTGCAGGGTAAAAACAACTTTGCACACCTCAACAGGCTCTCAAAATCATTAACAGACAACTGATAAAGAGGAATGAGTCATTAAGAATAGATTCAATTGTGTTTGGTAAATTCTTTTTTCAAGGAAGGGAATAAGTTAATACACTTTAAAAGTGAAATACTTTGAAATTGTATTGAAATTGTAAAAAGTTTGGTGCATAAAGGGACAAAGATCTAGCTTACATGGAAAAAACAGTTACCCAGAATGACTCACAACAGTTACCCAGAATGACTCACAACAGTTATCCAGAATCTCAGAACAAGAAAAGAATGCAGAGGCCAAATAAATCTACCTGAACTGGAATCCTTGTACAATATTCCTGACAGAGGTGATCCTCTTTGAAGACTTCTTCTAATGGGAAATCCACTATATCAAAATGTCCAATATTAGTCTTACTCTCTGCAATTTCCACTTACTGGTCCTAGTTCTGAGAACAAATATTTTTATTTTTTATTTCTGGAGACTGGGGCTCTTTATCTCACCCAGGCTAGAACTGCAACAGCTACTCACAGGCTTGATTCCACTAACCAGCACAGAAATTCTGATCTACTGCATTTCTAATCTGGGCTGGTTAGACCCATTTAGCCTGGGACAGACAGACAGACAGACACGCACCCCCACCCAACACCCTCTTTTGGCCCTACTGCAGCTCTACATCTTGAGATTAAGAGATCTACTCCGCTCCACTCCACCCCACCAGGAACAGGGGTTAGTTATGTGCCACCACAGCAGCTGAGAACAAATCTAAACCTTTTTCCACATGAGAGCCCTTTAGATACTTGAAAACAGTTACTACATTTCCCTCTGCGTCTTCGGTTCTTTATTTTGCTCAGCCAATTTCACACTGCATGAGCTGCAGTTTCCTCACCACCCTGGTCTCGCTCAGTTTAGCAACAGGTAGGTAGTACAGTGGATATAGTACTGAGCCTGGAGTCAGGAAGACAAGTTCAGATCCAGCCTCAGATATTCGCTCTCTGATGCTGGGCAAATCATTTAACTGTCTGCCTCAGTTTTCTCATGTTTAAAATGGCACTTCCTCCCAGGGTTGTTGTGAGAATTAAATGAGATATTTGTAAAACATTTAGCACAGTGCTAAGGCATCAGAGGCACTTAGTGTCTTCTCCATCTCTCCCTTCCTTCCTGCCTCCATACCCACTCTAATTCCTCACTGGTCCTTCTTCTCAATATAGCACTCAGAATTGAACAAAATATTCCAGGGCAGAGAACAAAAGAAGTATCATCTCCTCTGTTCTGAGCTCATTCTCTGAGGGTTCCAGAGAGGTGAAATATATTTATTATGTATCACTGTTCAATGTCATTAAATACCTGGAACAATTTGTTGGTTTGTTGATTGGGAAAGCAGAGAAAAGAATGGTGGAAATGGCAGATTAAGTTTTAATCTCATAAAGCAGTATCATGAAGGTTCATAAATTTAGAGCTAAAAGGGAACTTAAAAGGCAAATAAAAGGGAACTTAAAAGGCAACCCCACCATGTTTTACAAATGAAGAAACTGAGGTATATAGCTACTATAGGATTTGAACTCCAAGTCCAGCAATCTATCCACAATACCATTAAGTAATTTGGAAACTATTTTCATGATTGTCACAGGATGAAGAAACCAATTAAATTCTTTGTAGGCTTTAAACACAGCAAACTAAAGTCAAGAACACCAACTAATAAATAAATTATTTTCCAAAACCTCTGCCGTGAAATGTTACACAACACCATGGAAATGCCCCCTAACAAAAATTATATTCATTCCATAAGGATAAGTACTATATTAGTAATGTCCATATGAGCTCAATGATAACCAGGATTTCACCCAACATGCATTAACTTCTTTATATTTAACTTTCATTCAATAAGCTAATTCACTTTATTAATATCAGTACTTCATTAAACCCAGAGGTAGACCAAAAAAAAAGAGAGAATTTTATGAGTATTGTGTTAAATGTAATGTTCATTTAAAAAAAAATCTATGTCTAAAGGGGATTTAGAGTTTCACATACAATGTTATATTCTGTTCTTTGTATACTAAAATATTCATATTTGCTGCTGTTTCTTAGGTTTATAATAAAATCTCCTAATATGCAAAATGAGACATATTTTTGGACCTGACTACTACAGAAATTTGTTTTGTCTGACTATGCCTATTTATTAAAAAAAAATTTTTCTTCTTTTTCAGTGAAGAACGTGGGAGGGAAAAAAATAGAAGCTTGGTAACTGAAAAAAAAATCTTAATTTTGGAAAAGACCATTCTACACACAATTTTCTTATTTCAGACAGAGAAACTGAGACAAAATTTAGTGCCTTCCTCAAAGGAACTAGAACTTGTAAAAATAATTGGATTTCTGAAAATTATCAAATTACAAGTTTTTAAACTTAAGTACATATTTCTCTTTACACTAAATTTAAAACAAATTTTATATTAAGTGGTTAACAAATTAAGCCAAACTGAAGTTGATTACATTAACATTTGTTTAAAAAAAAAAAAGAAAAACTAACTAGGAAGGAATAAACTTACTTTGAGTAACATATGCACCAAAAAGAATCCACATTGAAGCAATAAGCGAACCAAACATCAACATGAAACCAATGAAAAGCCAAACTCGAGCACCTGTAAAGATGACAGGATTTGTCATTTTGTTTATTTTCATGTTGTTTCTAGGATCTCGGAAATAACATACACCTGGTACCACTTCAGCAATCCCAAACTCTGCTTTTCAGCATCATCACCTACCATTGTACACAGCTGAGAACTGTAAAAATATACAAAAAACTCTCTACCAGCTCAAACAGCTGTTACAAAGCCATTATCTGATTTCCAGGGTATTAAAGATTAAAAGCAATAAATTAAATTGGGGATCAGAAGCTACTTCTAAGGGAGTCATGATTATAGCCAAGGAGGAGGTAGAAATTACAGAAAGCAGAAAGATTTTTAAAAGTACAGCAGATGGGGCAGCTAGGTGGTGCAGTGGATAGAGTTCTGGCCTTGGAGTCAAAAGGACCTGAGTTCAAATCCTGCCTCAGACACTTAACACTTACTGGCTGTGTGACCCTGGGCAAGTCACTTAACCCTGACTGCCACACCAAAAAGCCCCCCCCCCCCCAAAATGGCTCAGATTCTTAACAATCTAGTAAATGTTAGAGTCTTATAATCTAGCCAATGCTTAGATTCTTATAATCTAGCCAATAGCTTACTAATGTTCAGACTCCTTAAGAGTCTGCCCAGTATGACTGATGTTCTAATAAACTTTGTCTCTGGCTGGAAAAAAAAAAGTATAGCGGATAGAGTCCATTTAGTGTAGGCATAAAGTAGCTCTAAATATTTCCCCAGGCCATGAAAACTGCCACCCAGTACAATAGTTATAGTGACATTAATGACCCTGAGTCATGAAGAAAAGGTAGCACTGTTTGATACACTCTATTTCACAAACCAAGAGTTAGTCCATTTCAAAAAGATTCTCTTCAAAAAGGTCTTTCAGTTTTGCTACTTACAAATACCAAACTTCCAGCTTCTAGAAAACTCAACTATCCCAAATAACTTACTCCCTGACAGTGAGGAAGACTTAAGTTCAAATCTCACCTCAGACAATCCAGCTTCTTCAACTATAAGGTGGAGATCACAACATCACAGGATTGTGGTACGGGTCAATTGAGATAATGCAAGAAAGGAGCTTTGCAAACTTTAAAGCACCATACAAGTTAATTATTATTATAGCTGAGGTTTTATTTTATCACTGGAAGAAAGTACCAATCAAATGTATCATTATCATCATCAACATTATTTATGTACAGCTCATTTTAGCTATTGTGCTACCTATTATTAACCCTGTAAAGGAGACTAGTAAAAGAGGTATTATTTCTTACTTTATAAACAAATAAACTACACGTCAGTGATTAAGTGAATTGCCAGGGGCATAGCCGTGACAAAGATGTGACGTGAACTGATGTCTTCAGATTTCGAAGAAAAATTCCTGGCACTGAAACACACTCATTGATTACTTTCCAGCAGCTTCCTCCTTTCTTATTCTTAGACAGTAGTTTAAGCAAAGGAGGAACATTACAACAGCTGAAAGTTTAGGGCCTGCTGACCCCCCTACCCTTGTGCCTCCATGTCACACAGATTCCTTGATCATTCCCATAGAAGTTAGATTAGAAAGTACCTCTCTTTGTCTTCCTTAATTCAGATTTAAATAGAGAAGCTAAGCTTTTTCGAGCTCTTTTGTCCTACCAGGGAAAAAAAAAAACCACAGCACTGATTAAGCAGCTGAAACAAGGCTTAATAAAATTCAAGAAAATGGAAACATATTTTCAAAATCTCATCCCTCCCTTCCTACTCCAAATTACCCAAACACCCTCACCAGAAAAGCAGAAAGAACAAAAATAAAAAATAAATGCCAACACACTTCAACAATACTTTAAAGAACTGTAATTTTGATGATGATATTCTCTCAAATGATGTAACTCTTGAGTGCTCTGTAGTTTAGCACCTCTGTTCAAGAGCGGTTGCAGCCAAAAAGTCCCTCACCCTGTGACCGACCAATCCAGTGATAAGCCTCTCAGTTCAGCCAAGTTGTATCACAAATGACCGGCATTTATTTGGTCCATCAGCAAGCCCATATTCTAAGCCTTCATATCTTGGCAGATCCTTCCACAGCTTCAGAAACCTATGGTTATTTCCACACTGTGATGAGGCATCACAGTAGAGCTTTAGAAGATCCCCCAAAATAAGTCTCGTCAAAATAAAATCTCAACAAAACGTTCATGCAAGAGCATAAATGAAAAAAAAAAATCAGACTAATTCAATGGTAGTTCTAGGATATTCAAAGACAATAGAGAGGCTGGACATCTGTTCAATTTAATCCACAGCCCTTTCAAAAACTGGGAATGTGATTATTGTTCATTACAGTGAAATTCCACTATGATGAAATCATCAGATCCCTAGGGAAGTTTATTATAAAAAAAGTTTAATGTGGATTAAAAAATATTACTGAGTTAAAATTTAGATGTTTCCCCAAACAATCAATCAAGTACTTATCAAGCACCTATTATTTGGCAGGCACTGTGCTCAGTACCACATAGATACTACAGAGACAAAAATGAAATAGTCCTTGTCTTCAAGAGCCTTATATTCTAACAGAGGAGATTAAAGTGCAAGTGTGTATGTGTGTGTACGCACATATATAAAAAGTAGCTGGCAGGTGAGAGAGAATTAGCATCTGGAAGGAAAGGCTTCATGTAGAAGGTGGCACTTGAGCTGAGTTTTGAAGAAAATGAGGGGTTCTAAAAAGACGTTAAGTGAGAAAAGAGCCCACTCCACGCACAGGAGATATCAGTGTAAAGTTACTGAGACTAGAGATAAAATGCCATTTGTGAAGAATATCAAGAAAGCTGGTCTAGCTGGGACATGGCATGTAGGTAGGGTAGTTATGTACAATCAAAAAACACAGATTAAAAAATACGTACATCATTAGCACAAAGACAAGAAAAATATGAGTTGAATGTGCCATTCCTTGCTCCCTCTCTATATATATATTATCAAAGCCTTCGGATAATTCACTTAGTTGATTAAAAAAAGTCATAGGCTCAATCTTCGAATATGCTAGTTGCCAAGCCAGCTAAACAACCTACTCATGATGGTCACAAGAGGCAAAATAAGAAGATAAACACAAAAATCCGCCTTCACTTCTAGAAAAACAAATCAAAGCCTGAGTCCTACTAATTAGTGTTATTATATACACAAGACAATGCATTATCACAAAAACAAATTTCTCAAAAAAATTTCATCTTTCCAGAGTATTCAAGCTAAAGCAAGACTGTAAAAAGATGTATTTTGGGATCCCATTTATTAGTTCTGCATAAAGGACTGAGCTTTTGGAGTTTAAGGCATACTTCACCAGTTTTTATTAATTTATAGTATACCCAAGAGCTACCCAAAAATGATTTTACCTACCTGTTCTTCCTAAACAGCCACTTTCATAGCTATCACCTCTCACTTGTGCATTTGACACAGCATTTATCCTAGAATACACAAACACACAAAAAAAAAAAACAAAAAAAACAACCATATGATCCAAAGGTTTCTGTTTTTAAAAATAAATTATCTTCAAATTATCCATTTTCTTTGAATAACTAACCTGCTGCTTAACAACAAAATAAGTAGGCAAGTGAACAAACATTCTTGAAACCACAAGTATTCTGTGGCTAGAAACATTCCTTTGTCTTTCCTAAAGGGCATTCAGAATACACATACTTTTACCTACTGCTTGTTGATGTCATGAATCAGGACTCAACTTTGCTGTATCACTGTCTCAAAAATTTTTTTGAATAACTTCTGGACTTCAGGAAGAAATTCAGATAGTAATTTTACATGAAAAAATGTTTTAGAATTTGGAAACATGTATAAATAACAGCCCCCCCCAAAAAAACCACGAAAAAAAAAAACAGGCCCACTATTTCAGCTTGAAGGATAACCTTTCTTCCTACTTAAGTTAGAACAAAGGTCAGGATTTAACGCTAAATACTAACAAAAATTCCTTTTTATTTCTTTGGTTATTACTTCTTTTTGGAAAACTTCATAGTCTGAGTGTTTCTCATTTTCCAACATTAAAAAGCAAGTCATTATATTACCTATTCTAAGAAAAATATAGTTTCAACTTTTATAATTACCTTCATACTTACATGAAGAAAGCTAATGTGGAAAATACTCCACATGTATGAAATGCATGGTTCATTTGCTCTGGTTTAGGATATACCACTGCTGCATCAATCATTATCCACCAACCTGTAAAAAACTTTAAAAAACAGCAAACATAACGTTTAGCTATTAAACCCTGAGACTATTTCTAGTATTCCCAGGACTAGAATTAAGCCCAATAAATACAAAATATTTAGAATTTCTTTTAACAAACCACCACTAGCCTACTTTAAAACTTTTTCCATCAAAAGAAACTTTATTAAAAAAATAATCAACTACGAATATTATGTGACCAAATGATCTTGAAAATAGTCCTTTTAGCAGCAACCACTTGTTTTTAACACTTGGTATGGTCAGAATTTAATTATACCATAACTACTTAAACAAGGATTCAAAAGAATTTTTAATTCTTATGGATTTTATAAGGTTTTCTGAATTAAGTTTGTTTCCATCTTGTTCTAAGTGCCATAATAATTTCTAAAACCACATAACATTGATAATTTCTGCTGTAGGATTATAGTTCTCAACACCTGTGATATAATATAAAACATGCAATCTCTAACAATCAAAAGACCTGAAAACAAGATATAGACATTCCCCCTAAAAAAGTAAGAATGAGGCTCTCATGGATAAAACCCTAATTTAAACCTACTATGTATCAGTACTATGATAAATACTGGAGATACAAATACAAAAGTGAGGCAGAGTCTGCCCTCAAGGAGTTTACATTCTACTGATGTATTCTAATGATGCTTCAATAATTTATTTTGATGAGGAAGATGTATTTATCTAAAGAGAACAAATAGAGTTCACCACTGCAGTGATTTGAGACATAGGAAAAGCTGAAAAGGGCATAAGTTGTTGAAAAAAACTACAAACATAGCACATTTATGTAAGAATCACTGTAAGCATCAAGAAAACTAAATCTCAATATGAAAGGGACGTTGAGGAATATCAAGCAATGTACAGAACTTGTTTGGAATGGATAGGAGGATGATAATCAAAGGCAGAAAAAACCACAATTACTTAATTTTTCCACTGTTTTCCTTACTCAGCAAAATTAACTTTTCATCAGGAAAGAAAAGAACAAAAATGATTAGAAGGAAACAAATACCTAAGGTAAATAAGGACAAAGTAAGAGAGAACTCATTGAGTTGCTATCCTTAAAGATTTCAACTGTAGCAATTGGAAGAGGTACACTAGAACCTGACAGAGAAACGTGTCCTAAAAAAAAGAGAAAGAAGGTAGATATTTCAAACCATAGGAAGGTGATCTTGATGTCAGTTAACTAGTAACATTCTGAAATAAATTATTAGCACTAAAATGAGGGAGCAGTTTGTGAGTACTTGGAAGGAAAGTGATTGGGGCAGCTAGGTGGTGCAGTGGATAGAGCATCAGCCCTGAAGTCAGGAAGACCTGAGTTCAAATCCAGCCTCAGACCAAACACTTGACACTTACTAGCTGTGTGACCCTAGGCAAGTCACTTAACCCCAACTGCCTTAAAAAAAGGGTGGGGGAGGAAAGTGATCATTAAAAGCCTGTAACAAGAACAAAGTTATGCAAATCTTGGCCCCAGAGAAGAAATGAGTTAATGAACCTGTCTCCTTTAACTGGAAGGTTGGGAACTGTGAGCAGAAAATGTCACATATAGCCATCAGACTGGTTGCAAATGTTCCCCCCCTCCCTTGGTTAGCAGAGAAGGCTCCTGAGGGGTAGAGGTATATCAAGAAACTACTGATGTAATGCTGTATTCTCCTGATTGATAAGTCAAGGGAATATCAAAGACATAGTTAACCTAAATTTCAGTAAATCATTTGAGCACACAACAATTTAGGTGAATTTGGAAGTAGCTGGAGAACTAGACCCAAACAATACTCAATAATGAATGAATGAATATGAACATACAGGTGGGTTCTCAAAGTGTAATTATTTCAGGACTTGACACTGACCCTATTCTATTCCGTACATTTGTCAATCATTTGGATGATTAAAATGGATAGCACATTTGGGAAATTTACATACAATACAAAGCTGAGATAAAAAAACTAATGTTAAATGAAAGAATAAGCATCAAAAAAAGATTTTCAAAGGCTGGAATAATAAATTTAATAGGAATAAAAGTAAAGTCTTACACTTAGGTTAAAAAAATTTAACTGCTCAAACTTTATACAAAATGAAGGGAATGTGAACAGAAAACATACTATGTGAAAAAGGCATCTAATAACATAAAATGTTATATTTGTCACCAGTATGGTTTGGTATTAATGTGATCTTGAGCTATATTAATTTAAATTGAGTGACAACCTATAATAAGTAAGAGGAAAATAACCAAAATGGTGAAGGGATTCAAAATCATGCCACATGAAGACTGGTTCCAAAAACCTACTGGAAATCTCATACTGGATGTCCCACAGACATCTTAAACTCAACCTGTCCAAAACTAAACTCATTATCTTTTCTCGAGGAAAAAAAAAAAAAGTTTTTCTCCCCCCTCCCAACCTCTACTGAGAGCAATGCTGAGGGCACTATCATCCTCCCAGTCACCCAGACTCACAACCTAGGGTCATCCTCAACTCCAAACTCTCTTCTCACCCCTATATCCAATTTATTGCCAAATTCTGTTGATTATAACTTCACAGTGTCTCAATTTTTCCATCTTCTCTCTTCTGACATTGCCACCATGCTGGTACAGGCCCTCATCACCTAATGCCTAGACTACTGCCTTAGCCTTCTGGTTGGTCTCCCTGTTTCAAGTATCTCTCCACTCCAGTTCACCTTCCTCTTAGCTTAGCTATCCAAGTGATCTTCCAAAGCTCAGGTCCCACAACTGACATGGTCAACAACTACCACCCTCCATTCAATAAACTTCAGTGGCCCCCATTATCTCCAGTATCAAATATAAAATCCTAAAACCCTTTATAACTTGACCCCTTCTTTTCTACCTTCCAGTCTTCTTAAACTTTACTTCCCTACATGTACTTTATGATGCAGTGACACTGACCTTTTTGTTTTTCCTCACTTGCCAGAAATGCTCTTCCTCCTTATCTCAAACTCCTGGCTTCCCTGACTTTCTTCAAATCTCAGCTAAACGCCCACTTTCCTTATTCAAGACTTGCCCAACTCCCTTAATGCTGGTGCCTTTCCTTTAAGATTAACTCCAATTTATCCTGCATATATCTTATTTGTATAACTGTTTGCATGTGGTCGCTCTCTTTAGAACAGAAAATCTTTAAAAATCTCAGTTGAAGAACTGGTTTTGTCTTTCTTTGTATCCCCAATGATTAGAACAGTGCCCACCGCTTCGTAAACAATTGATAAGTATTAACTGACTACACCTATTTAGCAGGAAAAAAGAAGAGAGGAAGGGAAAAGATTCTTCAAGAATTTGAAGGTTAAAATATGGAAAGATTAGTCTTCTGCTTGGCTAGAAGGACAGACGTGAGCCCAGAGTACAAGTTACAGTAAGACAAATCTGGAAAAACGTCCTAAAAAGAAGAGCGGCACAAAACAAAATGGACTACTTTGGGAGAAGAGTTAGCGGCCCATCTCTGGAAATGTTAAAGATGAGGCATATTTAGATGAGATTCATGATCTGGGCAGCTGGATTTGATGACATGGAGACTCCCTTTAACTGTTAAGATTTCTATTATCTGGAAAGCTAAAGATATCCTGCTAACTATACTGAGAAATACTGTTGGCTTCCTTAATACCTGAAAAGATCTATAGTTTCACTTATATGGATGTTCCTAAAACCAAAACAAATTGCAACAACTCCACAGTTTTCATAAATTGCTGTGGCCAAAAAGAATTTGTCAACCTTTGGCCATTCCTCATGTGATAAGCCTCTAAATACTGGTTTAATCTCAAAGCCTTTCCAGGTTCCATTTGAGTACCCAGGGTCACCTACAAAGTAAAAAACACTGGAATAGGCCTTTAGTAGAGGTATATGATTACAGAAAAAAATTCTTTAAAAATTATAATGGCATTCATAATCCAAAAGCATACTATAAAATAAAACTGATTTTGCAATATAAAAAGAAAATCAGAAATTATACCATATTAACCAACTTCTTTTTTTCCTGATGACTTACCAGTACACCTGCTACCACAGATGCAACTGTGTTTCTTCTCTCACTCCAATCAATGCACTCACATTCTGGCCACCGAAAATTATCTAGGAAGCCTGCCATTTCTATTTCTTTTGCATGGATTTTTCATTAGATGCCAAATCTTAGAAACAAAGAAGGAAAGAAATTAATCCCACAAAGAATGTAAAAGAATACTCTTTAAAATGTATTTTCAAATTATATGTAAAAACAATTTTTAACTTTCATTTTTTAAAACTCTTCCCAAATTCTCACCCTCCCTCTCCTGAGAGGCAAGCAATGAGATATAGATTAGATATTTCCAAGTCATGTTGCAAAAGAAAACACATACACGCACACACACACAAAATCACAAGAAAAATAAAGTAAAAAAGTATGCTTTGATCTGCATTCTTTCTCTGGAGGTAGATAGCATTTTTCATCTTAAGTCCTTCAGAATTGTCTTAGATCATTGTAATGCTGAGAATAGCTAAGTCATTCACAACTGATCATCACACACTAATTGCTGTTTCTACATACAATGTTTTCCTGGTTCTGCTTACTTCATTTTGCATCAGTTCATGTAAGCCTTTCCAGGTTTTTCTGAAACCAACCTGCTCATCATTTCTTTTGGCACAACAGTATTCTATCACAATCATATACCACAACTTGTTCTGCCATTCCCCAATTGACAGGTATCACATCAATTTCCAATTCCTTGCCATCACAAAAAAAAAAGCTGTTAAAAATTTTGTACAAAATGATCCTTTTCCATTTTTTATGATCTCTTTGGCATACAGACCTACTAGTGATGTTGTTGGATCAAAGATCATAATGGATCATGAGCAATTTTACAGCCTTTCAGGTGTAGTTCCAAATTTCGCTTCAGAATGGTTGGATCAGTTCACAATTCCATCAACAATGTATTGGTGTCCCATTTTTCCCACATCCCCTCCAACATTTGATATTTTCCTTTTCTGTCCCGTTACCCAATCTGATAGCTGTGAGACAGTACCTCAGAGTTGTTTTAATTTGAATTTCTCTGATCAATAGCAATTTAGAGCATTTTTTCATATGACTTTAAGCTTTGGTTTCTTCTTCTGAAAACTTCCTGTTCATATCCTTTGGTCATTTATCAATTGGGGAATGATTTGTATTCTTATAAATTTGACTCAGTTCTCTATATACTTGAGAAATGAGGCCTCTATCAGAGAACCTTGTTGTAAAAAATTTTCCCAGTCTTTCATAAAAGAACACTTTGTGGTTTTAGTTCTTATATCGTGTTTCTATTATTTTTGTTTTGTTTTGTTTTTTTTGCTTAGGCAATCGGGGTTAAGTGACTTGCCCAAGGTCACACAGCTAGTAAGTATCAATTGTCTGAGGCTGGAACTTGTTTCTATTATTAAACAATAATTTGAGTTAAATAAGAGACCACAACATAAGAGATGTCACACATGTTAAATGATTATTAGAACTATTTTTACTGTCTTTAAGAGAAAAAGTCATAAAACTGACTCCCCCTCCCCCCACCTCCAACTTCACTCCAGGGAGCTTGCACTGCTTGGGACAGCAGCATAGCAATAAATTCCACTGCCAACAATGCTCAAACAGAGAATGGAGCAACAGAGGGAACTAGGGAAAAGGTATTATGTGTATGGAGTTCCATCAGGTGAGAAGGAAAGGAAACTGGCATCTAGATGAGACTTTGATTTTTCAAAAAATACTCTTTAGAGGGGCAGCTAGGTGGTGCAGTGGATAGAGCACTGGCCCTACAGTCAGGAGGCCCTGAGTTCAAATCTAGTCTCAGACACATTAACACTCACTAGCTGTGTGACTCTGGGCAAGTCACTTAACCCCAACTGCCTAAAAATAAATAAATAAATAAATAAATAGAATTTTTAAAAAAAAATCAGTTTTCAACTCAGGCCTCTGAGTTGACACTTACTAGCAGTGTAACCCTGGAGAAGTCACTAACCCTGATTGCCTCAAACCCCCCCCCCCCAAAAAATCAAAGTCTATGTAGTTTAAAAAGGAGATCATTAAATTGGTTTCTTTTTTAAGTAAAATGTACAAGATAAAGCAGAAAACAAAATTTAAAGAAACAGGAGAAGTGAGATCAAAGAGGAGGCCTGAAACACTATGGTCTAAATTCCACATACAACCTCCTACAGGTGAATCAATTTATTTTGTGGGACAAAATTACAGAATGGGAGAGTACATAAATTAAGAGAACAGAATTGAAAGACAGAAGGGAATGTGACATAGCCAGGTACACTATGTATTTTTGATGAAGCTGTGAATTGGTATAACCATTCTGGAAAGCAATTTGCAATTATGTTAAAAACAAAAAAGTGAGAAACATTCATATCCTTTGACCCAGAGATCCCACAAACAGGCATATACTCTCAAGGAGAACTCAATGACAGAAAGAAAGGTTTCATCCATAGGTTCCCAAAGTGGGCTACAGCTGGAACAATTTGGAGGGGGGGATGATAGTAGCTTCAGGTGCAACTGGGGACTGTTGAATAAAAATAAGGAGGTAGTGGAAGCATAAGGAAAGAAGAGGAGAAAATTTTGAGGAAAAACGTTCACATGTGTTTCATCTGTTGTATAATAGAGTTAAAGTTACAGTGATTACATTATTTTCCATAAATACACAAAATATAAGTTTTAACCAATTAGTGGTCAAGTCCAAAGACAGGTTAACAAGCAAGTATTGGCAGGCCAGCATGTCACACACTGTCAAGAAATCCAGCATGCATGGGCAGGAATATGTCCATGTAACAATTTGTTTACAATAAATGAAGTTATACGATGCAATATTGCATCATCAAAATGTCAATGGAGGGAAAAAAACACATTTACAATAAATTATTATATTTAAAATGCATCATTTTTAAAGAATGTGTTTTTTAGGCCAAATAAGTTTGGGAACTTCTGAATACACCAAGATATTTATATGACATTCTTTTTGAATTGTAAACAAAATAGATGCTCCTTGATGGGAGGAAAGGCTGAGCAAACTTCGGTACATGAATATAATAGAACAATACTGTGTTACATATACTGACAAACATAATGAATATAGAGAAACATCTAAGAACTAGTATGTATTGACGCAAAGTGAAGTAACTGGGGCCAGGGAAACAATGTACACATTGATTATACAAATACAAATGGAAAGAACAGCCACAAACAACTGAAACGGGAATATTGAAAAATTAAAGACCAAGCTTCTTTGCCTCTAAGAGATGTGAGAAGATATTGTGTACTGGCTCCTTTACAGAAGTGTGTGTGTGTGGGGGGGTGAACACTGCATATAATATCAGATTTTTTTGATGTGTTGGTTTTATTGAATTTCTTTCTCTTCCTCTTCCTTCTTTCTTATAAGGCATAGCTCTCTGAGACAGGGAGGGACTAAAGGGGAAATATAAATAATGTAAAAACAAAATATAACAACAAAAAATCTATTATCTTTTTTAAAAAATTTATAATAGGAATTTGGTAGAACACTTTCTCTCTTTATACTGTATTTGAGAATAATTTGTGTTAACTGCTCTTTATGCTTATATTAAGTTCTGGTGATTGTTTTCTTATGAATTCATCTATTTTTCTTCTTTTTGGTGATTTTTAGCTGTGCTTAAATTAAAACTGGTATGACAAACCACATCTTTTGAAGGTCTTTCCCAGCCTCCATCCACCCACCCACTTGCTACTATCTCCAACCACTTGCTACTATCTTCCCTTCAGAATACCATCCATCTACTAAGTATGTATCTTATATAAATGTATTTTATTATGGATATATAAAATCATCCATTTACTAAGTATATATATACACACATATATGTAAAGTATCTTGTTTATGTACATAAACATACAGGTGTGTGTATAGATATAGGTATCCACACATTATACGTAGATGTACCCATGTATACCATACACCTATGTTTACATATATATACACATCTATTTATACACCTATGTGTAATACCTACATATGCGCACAAGATATACACATACTATAAGGTATATAATTAGTACCTACTTATTTTCATGTTCTGTTCCCCATTAGATTGTGACACTTGAGGGTAAGGATTGTTTTTGCCTTCCTATGGATCTCTAGTATTTAGTCCAGTGCCATCCACATAGTAAGCCCTTAACAAATGCTGGTTCCCAGCTTTAAAATGCAAACAAAGATATGATATTTACATTGGCATTGTACAGGAGAAAGCTCTGGGGCTGAGAATCAAGAAAACAGAATTCTGGTCCTAGCTGTATCACTAACTTTCTAAATGACCTTGGAAGAGTCAAGGTCTCAGCCTTCCTGGGTCTGGTTCTTCACTGTAAAAATGGGAATTTCATTAAACTGCTACATACAATCCCTTTAATCTCAAAAATTCTCTGATACTAAAGAAGGGAAAAAAGCAGAATACTAGACTGATAAGATTAAAACTTCATAAATTAAGGATTTTTCATCTTAAAACAAATTATCTTAGGTTCCCTAGGTGAATTCCCTTCATCTATTTAGGGCGATTTGAGACAAAAATTCCACACAGTTACAGCTTTTCAGGAATTTATCTTTTATAAATTTAAATTCAATTTTACAAGAGGAATAAAAAACTTTTTATGAAGTAGGTCATAACATATACAACAAAGTGAACTATTTGGTCATGAGATACCAATTTATGTAAAATAAAACCATGTCCCCTATACAATTGTCCCACTGTACATTAGCAAAAAACTTCTCATTTTTTCTTCCTGACACTGAATTATATTCTTGTCATAAATTATAAAGCAGTATCATTAAGGAAAAAAATCTATTGCAAAAATCACATTAATGGAATACTAAAAAAAACAAAAAACAAAAAAAACCAAACATCTTTCCAGTACTGACTCAGATCTACAAAGTCAATGCAAAGGAAGAATGACCCCAGTTCAGACAAGAACAAAGTAAATGACCATTGAGAAAATGGACCTCAGTCACCAAGTTTTCTTCATTAACCACAGTTGAGAACTATTTGTGGAAAGGATGGAAAGTCACTGTCCCAATATTTGCCATTTAGGAAAGAATATACACATTAAAATTTTATAGAAAAATAAAGCCTAGCATAAAAGCATATAGTTAATTTTGTTATTCAAATGTTGCCAGAGGATATTCTAGAAAGCTGTTTTATTTCTCAAGTTATACATAAATTCTAACTTCTAATGACACTGTGTGAATATTTTCCATTTTAAAAGCCTAACACAAATTATATACTTTAAAAGTTTGAACACAAATTAATCAAATTTAAGAGATCTTTTAAATGTTTCAAACAAAAGCATTTTTCAAATTAATATCTCCCAACTACTTGCCTACAGATTTAATCACATTAAGTAACTAAAACAAAGTTTAAGCAAGAAGCACAAAGCTTAAAATATCTAACTTAAATGTAAAATCATGAGCTAGAAACCACACTGTTAAAGATTTTAAAATGTACTTAACATAATGCTAAACTTCTTACATACAGTAGTGTAGAGGGCCAGCTCTGATCAGTCCAGAAAAGGGTTAAAGAACTCAGGTTGGAATTTAACTCCTGCCTGTTCTTACCTTCCAGGGCTCACTTAATCAGAATGTTGGCTCACCACTCTCCTATTCATTAAGGGGCTCCTGGAACTGCCCGACGGGGACACAATAAAAGTCTGGCATGAGGGATAACATGTGGCAAACTAGGGTGGACTAGTCACATACTTTGAGCCAGCCCTGAGAACGATTGTCAAGGCCTGTTAATTGACTGTTAATCTCTATCTTGTAACCATTTGTTTAAAATGATGTAATCCTTTTTTCTTGATACTTCTATCTATGCTCCTTTGATGTATGTCCTGAAAGCATTTTTTTACCGAGCTCTGAAGCTTGAAAGTTATCAGTAACAGTTACAGAATATGCAGAGTTCTCCCACACAAGAGATCCTTTGTAGCTCCAAACTTCTTCCTATATATGCTGTGACCCTCAGATGAATAAACAGTTCAGTCTTGGCCGACCCGGCTGACCTGCCTGGCCCATGTTTCTTCAGTTCACGCTCTCCCATCAGATGTGACTCTTAGTTGCGGGCAACACAGTAGTATTGTACAGCAGAAAGAGAGAAGAACTTTAGAATCAGTTCAAAAGAATCAAATCTTGGCTTTGTTGTTTACTACCTGTATGGCCTCGGGCAAGTCACTTCACCTCTCTGGGCCTCAGTTTCTCCATCTCAAAAAATGAGAGAGTTGAACTAGATAAACTCTAAGCTCCCTTTAACTCTAAATCCATAATTCTGAGTAATGGATCTTGTAAGAAGGCCAATAATGTCCCTAAAGTTCATCAGCACAATACTTCACAAAAAAAGAGTATCTGGAGGACTATGACCTAGGGATAGATTAAAAACCACCTACTGCCCAAACTTTATAGGTTTATAGGTGCCCAAACACCAAGAAAGAAATGTCAGTGTACGTATCTATGATAACTGTTGTTGCTGTTCAAGGGCGGACCTCGTGCACGGCCCTTGTAGTTTAAGAGCAGGACGTTGCTCTTTTGGCTTCCTGATCAAACCTCTTGATCGTCTCCAGTCTCGTAGGTATTTGAGCTCGCCTGGTCAGTGAGTGTGTATCCTTTCTTTTCTTATTCTTCCTTTTATTTTGATTATTCCTTATTGCACTGAATGTTATTCTTATCTTTGTATGCTTGTGTTGTTTTAATCATAATTAATCATTGTAAAATAAATGTGATTGTTAAGTTTATACTGAGGACGTGTCATTACATCTTGAGATCCAAACCTAAAATGAAAAACTGCGAAGTAATCCTTTCGATTACAGTAGGATTCCAATTCCTTCTTTCCTGATTCCAAATCCAAAGTTCGATCCACTGCCCTACCTGCCTACTTAATATCAAGGAAATGTATGCCAGGAAAAACAGGTGAGCCAGTGGTGTAGGACAAGAGCTAGGGATAGACAGCCTGAAGAACTGAACAAAAGCCCACAAAATGTAACAAGGAGTAACTCCAGCCCCAGTGAGAGGATCTTCTCTGAAGGATTTTTAGAACATGAACAAGAATTTCACTGCATGAGAGGGTAAGGATGGTTTATGATCTGCACTGATGGAAAGAATGAAATGATGTAACATGGAAGAGATCACAGATTCAGTAAAACATAAACTGAAGACACTACAACACAACCTGTTAAAAGACTTCTGTTCTGGAACTCATTCAAAGAAAATTAGTACTAGAAATATTATCTTAACTGTCTCACAAAATTAAAGTAGTAGTTTATCAATTAACAAGCATTTATTAAGCCCACTGTGCACCAGGAACTGAGATAAGCCCTAGGGATAAAGACAAAAATGAAAAAAGTACCTACCTTCAAGGAAAAGGGAAAGACAGAGGTATATACAAAATAACTTAAGTATATAATACGTATATATACATAAGAATATACAAAATAAACTCAGTTATAAGGGAGAATCAGGAAAGGCACAGTAACAAGGCTCCAGTAATCTTTCATTTAAGTCACTTTAGGAATATAATCAGTTCTCAATTATCTGACTGCAGACTATTGGTTTATTGCCTAAAAGTTTCTTCCCTCCACTAAGCTGGGCTAGAGATAGGTCTAAGCTTCCTAACCTCTTTCAAGGGAACAGCAGCACAGCTTTAGTCCACTTGGTTAAAGGAGCTGGGTGGATGACTATCACTAGCCAATAAAAGGAAGTACGTGGCCTATAAACAGACTACTCTGAGAATTCAGGAGTGTTATTTATCAAGGGAAACAGTAAGCTTTTGCTTTGGGGCAAAGCAAAGAGTATTAACTTTCATTATTACTAACCAAGATCCTATACACGCATGTATATATACATGTGTAGGTATAAATATATGTACATGTACATACATAAGGATGCCACATATATGAAATTACCTTGAATAAAAAAAGGAAACGTCACTGCTTTCTGGAGCATTTATAAAGATGTTACTTTAATAAGATTACATAATCATAGAGTTGGGGCTTGAAAGGGCCTTAGAGGCCCTCCAACCCGGGTTCTTCACTTTATTTTTTATATATTTTTTAATATTCTTTTTTATTTAATTTTTTTTCAACCCCTTCACTTTAAGGATGAGGAAGTGAGGCCCAGAGAGTACCTTGTCCAAGATCACAGTAATTTGTGAGACCTTTCCAGAGCATTATTATAGGAAACTGAGACAATAAACTTACTCTGTTCTTACTCTCCCCTCACTGACAACCCACTTGATTCATCGCCCTGCCAAATACTATATATATAACTTCATACTCAAACTAAACCTAAGGCATGTTCAAAGAAACTCTGGAATTAAAATAAACTAGCAATTACTATCCATAGCTAGCATTTATTAGCACCTACTATGTGCATGGCTAAACACTGAGGATATGAAGCAAGGCAAAAACTGTCCTGGCCCTTAAGAGGTTCACAATCTAAAGAGGGGAGGGAGAGGAATGTAAATTATGTACAAACAAGACATGCAGGATCTCTCAAAAGTCTTTGTGCAGTTTGAAGCTTTAATAGTTCTAAAACGCCCATAGACTTTTGGGATGCTCCATATACAGGATAAATGAGAAATAAAAATTCCTTTAAAAGAGGGATCAGCTTGTAACAAAATGACATATTTTACTGTTAAATATTAGTTCTCGCATAGACACTGATATTTAGGTGTTGATATTTAGATTTGTTGAGTCATATTATTAATTAATAAGCCAATCTGTCTGCTTGGTTTAAACCAAGCATTTAAAAATCAAGTGTTCATGCTTTAAATAGGTGCCAGGATGGCCACTCAAAGGCAGTAAAAAAAAAAAATTCAATGTGGCACTCATAAACACCTAATTTCAAAGTGCTCCGATCAGTTCAAAACCAGATGATTTTTCCTGCAATTCTGTAAACCCCTACAGAAGCAATCAACTTCTGCAGCTCAATTTAGAACAGTACCCTTCACACCTAAAAATAATTCTATATTAGGTAGTTAACTAGATAAACATCTAAGCTCCTACTATTTGAGAACAAAGGGCGGTACTCTCAAAACATAATTTTGATTTTCAGTCTCCATTCTCCGTTACGAACAAACTCAAAAAGCATCAGAGGTCCTCGTGAATATTAACATACTAGCAATTTTCCTACACGAGTAACACGAAAGGAGTCCATCACAACGAATCTCAGAAGCAATATGAGAAGGAATAAAGGCCGATTTGCAAGTAATATAGTAAAGAGAAGAGAAATGCAAAGTTACTTTTGAGTGGCTTCACTCCGGAAACCTTTTCTGAGTAAAACGCCTGCTGTAGAGACCTTTTGCCAGGGGTGTTAAAAGAAGGTCATTCTTGGCTCCCCTTTTTTGCATCCCTCTCTCTACGTCCTTGGGAACACTTGAAATGTCGAGTCTTTACAGGCTGTTCCACAAAGAAAATTCGTGGTCACGGTTACGAGGGTGTAGAAGGGACGGCCCGGTGCCGCCATCTGCACCAAATTCGGGCGACCGACGCTTTGGAGGGCAAATGACGTCATAGGAGGTTTCTCCCGACCCCAGGTTTCGAGGGGACCCGGGGGCGCCACCCAGAAACGTGCCCCCGCAGAGGCTGCAAACAAAAGCCCTTCCAGGCCCTGGTTTGCAGCCGACGCCCCGAGAAGCGGAGGCAACACGGACCGCAGGCGGGGGCGGGGGGGCGGTCCGGCAATAACGGGCAGCCCCCCCACGGCGGGATCCGTGCCGAGCGCCCCAGCGCAGCCCGCAGATACCAGAGGGCCCGGCCGGGCGGATCCGCCGGAGAAGAGAAAAGAGGGGAGCCGAAAAAACCCAGAGTCAGACAGAGAAACCTCCCCCCCCCGCAGAGGAGGGGGGAGAAGAAAGGAAGTGGAAGGGGAAGCGGAAGCGCTTCCGCCCCACCTCCCCGCCAGCATAAGCCGGAAGTGGGGGGGCGCACCGGGGAAAACGGCCGCGGGCGGGGCGCGGGCTCCGAGGGAAGCGGCGGGTGGGGCGGCGGCGCGAGCGCCCCCTCCTTCCAAGTGCCAGTGTTCCCTCCCCTCCCCCCAACCTCGCAGCCCCGAGCAGCTTTTCCTATTCAACAAACCGACCCGAAGTCTTCCCGAAGGCGCGCTCCCTTCCTACCGGCCAACTTGCTCTCCTCCTCCTCTCCCTCCACCACCCCTTCCGGTCAGCCTCTGCCGCTCAAGCCCCGGACTGGGGCCCCAGCAATTTTTCCACCTCCTCCTCTTCTTCCTCTTTCCCAACTCCCCGGCTGCCGGAGGCTCGGTGGGAAAGGGGATGGGTTGGGAGAGAAGGAAAGCTGAGCACCGAAGCGGCGTGCGACCAATCCTGGCGCGGGAAGCTGCCGCGGGGGGCGGGGCCGAGCGGAGCGGAGCGCCCTCGTGTGCCGCGGGGAGCCGGGAGGTTCGTGGGGGGAGAGGCGGCCGGGGGGCGGGGGGGAAGGAAACTGGATCCATGCGCGAGGCGGAGGGGGTGGGGCGCAGCTCTGCGTGGGGGGCTGCTGCCGGGTGTGCGCGAGGCCGGGGGGCGGGGCTGCTCCCTCCGCTGCAGCCTGACCGGAGACATGCAGAAGAAAAGAGCAAGCCCTACATTAGTGCGGGCCTGACAGCTGGGGCCCGGGCTGAGAGACACTGACCATTGGGCAACCCGGAGCTTGTTTCTTCATTTGTAGGGGCTCCTGAGTGCTCAGGGGAGTGGAATGTAAAAGGCCAAAGATCTCAAATTAAGAGCCTGGTTGATTATTCAGACTAGATTCCTCTGGCTTCACTTCGAGGGGAAATCATTTAAAGTTTCAGTTAGTCTTATGCCCCAAAGGCGAAGTATAAAGGCTCATAATTTGCAATATAGAGCAGATAGAGTCAAGTGAAATACACAAGCATTTTTTAAGCACCTGCGTTTATTAATTGCTTGCTGTGTGCCAAGCACTGGAAATACCAAACCAAAAAAAAAAAAAAAGGTCCCTGCTTTCATTGATCTAATAAGGGGGGCGGAGGGGAGGGAGACAAGGTGCAAACAACTAAGTGCAAACAAGATACTTACGGGGATAAACTGGAGATAATCTGAGAGGGAAGGGCTTTTGACTGAAAGTGAAATCTTAATTGAGACTTGGAGGAAACCTGGAGGTAGAAACGTGAAGGGAGAGATTTCTAGCTATGGAATAGCGCTATGCAAAAGAAATTCGTAATGCCAAAGCTCTTGTTACAGCAATGTATAACTGCTGATACAGTTAAGGGGAAAGTTGATAATTAAAATGGCAACATTATTTGGATCTGCTGAACTGGTTCCCCTAAGTAAAGTAGTGGATGCCGAGCCTAAAGTCAGAAAGACCCGAATTCAAACCTGGCTTCAGACAATGGCTGGGTCACCCTGGGTGTGACCACTTAACCTTTGTTTGCCTCAGTTTCCTCATCTGTAAAGTGAGGGTAATAATAGCATCTACCTCCCAGGGTTGTGAGGCTCAAATGAGATAGTAGTTATAAAGTGCTTAGCACAGTGCCTGGTAACATAGTAAGTCTATGTAAATAGTACCTTGGCTCTAAAGATTCCCTTAAAGTGCACTTCATCTGGAAAGCCAGGTGAGAGTTTAGGTTCATAGTCCTACCACTGGTCATATCTCTTCTGAAGAACATATTAGTAACTACAGAGGGCTTCTCGCAAATTGTAGCCAGCACCAGTGGAGGAACCCAGAAGCTCTAGACTTCTTGAAAGTATAAGGTTTCCCTCAAGACTGAAAATTCCTATTCCAGGATCACCATGTGGTCCCAAGTTCTCAGAAAAAAAAAAATGGGGGGGAGGAAGCTAGGTGGCGCAGTGGATAGAGCTCCAGCCTTGGAGTCAGGAGGACCTGAGTTCAAATGTGGCCTCAAACAAGTAACACTCACTTAGCTGTGTGACCCTGGGCAAGTCATTTAACCCTGACTGCCTCACCAAAAAGGCAAAAAAAAAAAAAAAAAGCATATCTAAAGGAAGAAAATAAGGGCAGCTAGGTGGTGCAGTGGATAGAGCACCAACCAGCCCTGGAGTCAAGAGGACCTGAGTTCAAATGTGGCCTCAGACACTTGACTAGCTGTGTGACCCAGGGCAAGTCAATTGATCTCATTGCCTAGCAAAAAAAAAGAAAATAAAGCAGAAGCAGCTTCAAGAGCTCTGAGATAGAATCTCAAGCTCACCTAGGTCAGTACATGTGCTAGCTAACATGTGTTAGTAGTTCCCCCTTTTTACCAGGGTGGGGCTTTCTCAGTAGAAGTCCAAGGAGAGGCCCTCCCCAATGTCTTAATATGCTTAGCAAACAGAGACAAATAGGTTTAGAGGATAGATTTATTCCTTTAAATTCTAATCACTTGCCTCTTCCTGGCTTAGTGACCAATCCTCTCTGAAGTAGCCACTTATGGCTGTTGATGATTAAGGAGACCAAAGGACATCTGTTATTCCGTCCAAAAGCAACAAATATTTCATCACTGAACAAGCAACGTGGCCCACCAGAAAAGATTTGGACAAGTGTGTCACTGGAAGGGGATGCTCCAAGGGGTGTACTGTAGTCTGAGCTGACTGGGGAGAGGGTCCACTGATTACACTTATTACATATAAAGAGAGTTATATGCAGTGCAGGGGAATTCAAATGAAATTCCACACTTTTAACAACACTTTATTGCTACTCACAAGGGAAAGATAAGAACAGATGCTAGTGGGACAGACTTAAGTGTTCGACTTCCTTGCAAAGAGAAGCTCACAGTGGGGAAGGAGAGTGGGCAGTGAGTATCCATGCTGAGGGTGAAGGCACAGAAACTTTTGGGGCTCACACTGATATGGAGTTTTAGACAAAAAACCAGCATGGGAGGAATAGGAAACTGCTTTGTTATCTATAATACCAGTGAAGTGAAAGTATTTTCTAAATTGCCTAATAAGGAATGAAGGAGGAAGGGCAGGGATGTTGGGAACTTAATTCTAAAATGCTATTCAGCAAGGACCTGGGAAGCAGGAAGGGATGATACTTAGTCTCTAGTTCATGCATACATCCTGAGCAGGAGTGGGGATTGGGAAGTGTGGGCCCTATCTGTTATACTAGTTTTCACAGGCTCACTATCCATCCTCTAGCCCCAGCATCCTATCAACCGGATCAAAAGCTCTCCACTCAGGGGCATATTATAAAGTGACTGGTGAAGGCATTAGTAAGCTAATGCTGGATGAATTGCAATACGAAGCAGATTTTGATCAGAATTACAGCCTTGCCCATTATGCAGAGGGCCAGGGTTTGACAGGCACTATGGATCCAGCCTCCCCAGAAGCCAAACTCTAGCCATGAGAATAAATCCCATACGACAGGATCTGGTCACACACCAGAGAGCCAGGTGGCCTGATCCTTAATTTCCCCTATGGTTCAACTTGCCCACTAGTATTAACCACAAAACCACAGGAGGCATTAGGCACAGACCCCTCCCTGGCTATTTAGTTAGATAGTCCAGGGCAAGGCAGTTATATATTATCATGCCATCTAGGAAATTTAGACTTCAAGCCTGTACTTCCAGGGCTTTAGCAATCTACTTGAGCTTCTGTTAAGAAGTTCTTGATCGCTTTTTTGGTTTCAGCCATCCCTTTCTAGAGAAGAGAAAAAACCCTTACAAACTGATCGAGCCCTGTATATCTGGCCAACCCCAGGAAACTATAGTGCCTTGACTGTGGCAGCCTCCCTGCCCCTCTGATGCGGTTTAGGGGTTCAGGGGTGCTGAGACCCCAAAATCACAACATGCGGGTCCTGCCTGAAAGAATTCGACCCAAGCTTTCTTTCAGTCAAAGACAAGGTCTATTAGAACATCTGTAATATTGGGCAGACTCTTAAGAAGTCTGAACATGGGTAAGCAGTGGCTAGATTTTAAGAGTCCAAGCAGTGGCTAGATTATAAGAATCAGAGCATCTTAATGGAGACAAGATGGACTTTATATACAGAAAGACTATGGGAGGGATTTAGGAGGGGCCAAGTAGTCTATGAGGTAATAGAATTCCAGGGACCTGGACCACAAGGCCAAGAGAGAATGGAGAAATGGCCTGGGGCCATAGGGAGGTCCACAATGAAAGGCCAGATGATGGAATTATAGCCTCAGGAGAACCAGAGATTTGACCATGTGGGAAAGTCCAGGGTTTTTCCTTTCTGGGACCCAGATCCCAACCCCATCACCTCCATCAAAGAAGAGGCCTGTCTATTCAACGAATAGTGAGGGACTGTACCGCCCTCCACACCCCCTTAGATTTGTTGTCATGGACTAGGGTGGGGAAGGTTATGTTATCACAGAAATAAAAGGTCCAATGGGGATGTTTACCAGTTTATCTAGGCTCCCTGAAAGTGGTATCAGGGGAGGTGCATGCCAAAGCTTCAGGCGTCCCTTTTCACAGAGCGTAGGCTTCCACAACCAGTTAAACTGGATTTCAGTGGCTCAACAATACAAACTCAGTATTTTGGCTCCAGCATTCTGCAGCCAAAAAAAAATATAGAATACTAAACTGATTGCTTCAATCTCTAAGATTCTCTTGGTATTCACACATAACCCCAGGAGATTTGCCCCATTTTTGTTGCTTCAAGTGACTCTTGCAAAGGCCCCAGAATGATTCAAGGGGGCCCAGGGAAAGGAGATTCTAGAGCCCTTCTATGAAAAATAGAACTGTCCTGAGCTCATAATGAACTTCTCTGAGACCAAAGATGATGTCATAAAAAGCTCTACTTTACTGTTTTTTCTCTCTTGGGACTCCAGGGTCAAGAGACAGCTGCTACAAGTACTACAAAATCACATGGGGAAGAAATGCCGGTATTATCTACAGTCCAGAGTCTGCTGATGACTTCAGGGTGCTATTAAGCCTTCCAACTATCAAACTGCTGAGCCAGTGAAAATCTCTCCACATTCCTTCCTCTTTATGGGAGGGGTGAAAGCACATCCCATCCCTGCACTCTCCATCAACTTCTGAAGTTTGTGAGAACGTTTCCCATATAGATCTGGGGGTAGAAAGGGTATGAAGGAAACAATAATGCAGATTTAAGGGAGTTAGTATGTTTCTCTTTTCATTTTAATTCATATATTAAACTTGCGGTGCTACCACCCCCACCCCCAAAGCATTGCATCTGAATCAGTGGAAGACTAAAGGAAAGAGTCTAAATTACTCTCACTGACTAGTGGGAACCAAAGCCAGGCACCTTTAGTCACACATCTTTTCCATATTTATATCTCCTTTCCTAAACTAGGATGCAGGAAGCAATAGCTCTGGGCAAAAGGTCACCCCTTCTGACAAAAAGGACAAAGGCAACAGACTGCAGCCACTCATCGGGGTAAAAACAGGCTTTGATTGTCCTCTAGT